TGCGGCCTCGGCGCCGCGGGCGCGCGGGCGCTCGGCCCCGCGCTCGAGGCGCGGCGGACGATCACGAAGCTCAACCTCAGCTTCAACGGCTTCAAGAACGCGGGCGCGAAGGCGATCGCCGCGGGCGTCGCCGCGCAGCTCCGGCCTGTGTGGAAATCAACCTCTGGTTTGGGACGTCCATCGAGTTCTCGAAGCACAGCCGGAGAGTCTGGTCTAGCGATTGCGCGCACATGAAGTCGGGTTGAAGATTTGATTTTCACACAGGCTCCGGCTCCGGTCGCTGGACCTCGGGTCCAACAAGCTCGGCTCCGCCGGCGTCGGGGCGGTCTGCGACGCGCTCGCGGCGACGCCCGCGGACGCGCGGCTCCGGAAGCTCAAGCTCCGCGACACCCCGCGGCTGAGCCGCGGCGGCTGCGTCGCCGTCCGCGTGGAAATCAAATCTTCAACCCGACTTCAATGTGCTCATCGGAATCTTCGGCTGTGCGTCGAGAACTCGATGAGGGCAATCGATTCGTCCAAAGATCAGCCGAATCGACTCGAGATAGAGAATTTCAAAGTTTGGTCGGGACGTCCCAAACCAGCGGTTGATTTCCACGCAGGTCGCCGTCAACGCGCTCCTCGCGAGCGACCGCGCGCACGACGCGCCGTCGCTCCTGCTCGAGGGCTGCACGGGCCTGCGGCGCTGGGGGTCCCTCGACGCCCTGCTCCACGGGCCCCTGGACGCGGCGTCGCCGTCGTCGCCCATCGCGCGGCGCCGCGTCCCCGGAAAGAGGAGAAACGTCGCCACCGGCGATCGAACAGGCGCGGCTCCACCGCCTCGACCTGCGCGCGTGCAAGCTGCGGCCGCGGCACGCCCGGTCGCTCGCCGCGGCCCTCGCGGACACGCTCGACGTCGCGCACCTCGACGTGTCCCGGACCGCGTGGAAATCAACCCGGGGTCCTGACCAAACTTCACTAGCTCGGCCAAATCGAAGTCGATTCGGGTGATTTTTGGACGAAGCGACGGCTCCCCTCGAGCTCTCGAAGCAGTCCTGACCAAACTTTCTAGCTCGGCCAAATCGGAGTCGATTCGGCTGTTTTTTGGACGTTTTGATTACTCTCCTCGAGCTCTCGAAGCACGGCCAAAGAGCCGAAACCGTCGCGTGTGAAGATTTGAGTTCCGCGCAGGTCCTGGAACCGGCTGCGGTCTTCGGGCGTCGCGGCGATCGCGGGCGCGGTCCGGGCCGACGCGGGCCTCGCCCACCTGTCCATCAAGGACACGCGGAGCGGCACGGCGGGCCTCCGGGCCGTCGCCGACGCGCTCCGCCGCGCGCCGTCGCTCACGAGCCTCAAGCTCGGGCCCACGCGCGCGGATCGCGGCGCGCCCCGGCTGCCGGACCTGCTCCGCGCGCTCCTCGCGGCGCCGCACCTCGAGCGCCTGGACCTCCGGCAGGAGGAGGAGCTCGAGTGCGACGGCGCGCTCGTCGCCGCGCGGACCGACGACGACGACGACGACGACGACGAGCGGGAGGCGCCCGACGACGACGACGACGACGACGACGACGGCGACGACGACGCGCCCAACCCCCTGGAGACGGAGCTGACGCCGCGGCGGCGACGACGACGGCGCGGCGACGGCGAGGCGCTGCTGTCGCTCGTGTAAGGGGGTTGAACTCGCCCATGCTTGGGAACGGCAACTCAGCTTCAACGACCGTGTGAGGTGCACGCAGAAGCACGAAGCCAACGAAGCCGAATCGGGCGCGAAGACTCGCCCTCGCAATTGCCCCTCGACATGGACTTCGTAACATCCGAAGATCGGGTCCAAGGGCTCGTGGACCTCGTGGCACGCTGGTCGATCTCTCAGCGGCGGCGCGTCGCCGGCTCGGCGGTTGGCGTGGTCGCGGGCCGGGAAGCGGCGCGCGCCGCGAAGATGGTCGCGGATTTGAACGCCGAGGAGCTCGAACGCGCCTGCGGCTGCGACGACCTGCTCGTCAAGTGCGCCGTCTACCCCCTGCTGTGCCCCGTGCTCGAGCGGCTCCTCGAGAAAGGCGCCAAAGCCAACGGCGCGCGCCGCGGCGGCCTGAGCCTGCTCCACGTCGCCGCGATTTGGGACAACGAGCCCGCGATGCGCGCGCTCCTCAAGAAGCAAGCGGACGTCGCGGCCGTCGACGAGCTCCGGCGCACGCCCCTCCACCTCGCGGCCCACTACGGCGGCGTCGCGGCGGCGAAGCTGCTCCTGGACGCGGGCGCGGACGTGAACGCCGAGAGCGCGCGGGGCCCGCCGCTCGCGTGCGCGCGGCGCCGCGCGCGCGACGACGAGGGCGTCGCCGCCTTCCTCGAGGCCCGGGGCGCCGAGGCGCCGACGGTCGACGAGTGCGACGCCGGCGACCTGCCGGAGGAGGACCTGATGGAAGAGTTCGCGGCCGTCTTCGACGCGCGCGAGGGCCCGCGGCTCAAGCGGCTCAAGCGGAACCGCGCGGCCGCGGAGCTGGAGACCTGCGGCGCGCCCGAGCCCTGGACCTGCCCCGGCTGCGGCAACCGCACGACGGACGCGCCCGCGGCGCACCCGGACTTTGACGCGGTCCGCGTGCCCGTGTGTTGGGAGTGTCGCTGGATGCGCGACCAGGGCACCTTCGACGTCGGCGACGACGGCAACGAGGAATTCTGCCGCCTCTGCGGCGAGGGCGGCGACCTGCTCCTCTGCGACACCGACGGCTGCTCGCGGTCCCACTGCGCGGGCTGCGTCGAGCGCGTCACGGGCCGAGGGGCCGCGGCGGCGGAGTCGTCCGTGTGGCACTGCTTCCAGTGCGACCGGGCGTCCCTCGAGGAGGCGCGCGTGGCGCACCAGTGGGACGCCATCTTCGAGGCCTACGAGGCGCGGCTCTCGAAGCGCGCGCGCGCGATGGCGCGGAAGGCGTGGACGCTCGTCGGCGACCTCTCGAACGGCGCGGAGGCGCGCGCGGTGCCCTGCGTCGGCCGCGCGGAGCGCGCGCCGCCGGTCAAGGTCTTCGAGTACGAGGCCAAGCCCGTCGTGCCCCGGGGTGGCGCCGTCAAACCCGTGGAGAACGCGGGCTGCGACTGCGTCGGGTCGTGCGGGCCGAGGTGCCCGTGCGTGTGCCGCGGCGGCGAAGCAAACGCTTACGGCGCCGACGGCACGCTCACGAACCAGCGCATCGGCAACTTCGTCTTCGAGTGCCACGACGACTGCAACTGCCGCGCCGCCGCGTGCCGGAACCGCGTCGTCGGCGCCGGGCTCAAGCTGCCGCTCGAGGTCTTCCACACGGGCACGGACAAGGGCTGGGGCGTCCGCTGCCGCGACAAGATCACCAAGGGCACCTTCGTCGCCGCCTACGGGGGCGAGATCCTCACGCAAGACGAGGCCGAGGAGCGGGGCCGCAAGCGCGGCGACGAGTACTTCCTGGATTGCTTCGCCGCGCCGCCGCCGCAGCCGCGCGCCGCCGCCGTCGTGTCCCCGGGGCGCGGCGACGGCGCCGTCCCGGGCGCCGGCTGGGCGGCCCCGGCGCCCGCGGCGGCGCCCGTGACGCCGCCGCGCGGCTCTGCGGCCGCGCGCGACGAGTTCCTCGTCATCGACGCCAAGTGGAAAGGCTCCGTCGCGCGCTTCTTCAACCACAGCTGCGTGCCCAACATGCGCGGCGCGACGGTCTACGTCGAGTCCGACATGCCCCGCCTCGCCTTCTTCGCCCTCAAGGACATCCGGAAGGGCACGGAGCTCACGTGGGACTACAAGCGGACGCAGAACGAGACCGACGGCGTCCCCTGCCTCTGCGGCTACGCGAACTGCCGCGAGGGCCTGCTCTGAGCCGCCCCCCCCCCGCCCCTGTTGTTGTTGTTGTTAAGGTACTGTGCATGACCCCGGAAGAGCCGCTGCTCGCGCCAGGAGCTCGAGGCTGCCGGACTCGCTGCGCGACGGCGCGTCTCTCGCGCGCCCCGCGCGCGCCTCCAGGAACGCGGCGGCGTCGGCCATGCCGAGCTCCACCGCCGCGACGCCCTGGGCGAGGCCGTAGCCGACGGCCATGGACGTCGGCAGCCCCGACTTCATGGGCTTGACGACGAGCTGCGGCCGCTTCGCGTCCTCGAAGAGCGGGCAGCCGTTGGTCACGCCGCCGTCCGTCACGTAGTAGCCCTCGAGCGACGTCAGCGCCGTGCCCGTCGACATGAAGACGCGCTTCGCGAACTCCAGCGTCGGGTACGCGGA